AAACACACAATATTCATGTTGCATCAGGTAAGGTATTGCCATCAAATGAGTTACAAAAACATTTCGGTTTCATAGCTTTTCAAATTTTAGAATTGCAGGTTTGGGATTTTAGACTTATATTTATTTATCAGTTATATTTTCCTATTTTTAAATTAACTCTTTACGCTCTTCATCATCCATCTACTGGAACCCTTCTTGATGCTTTTCTTATTGATTTAACTGAGTGCTTAAAAACACAGAGAAGTTCATTTTAATGTAGCCAAATCTGTCCACGTTTACTTTTATGATTTGGGCTAACATAGCAAATGTGCAAGAAGTTATTAGTGAATGAATGAATGAGTTTTTCTTTTTCTCCACAGCTTTCTAAATTCCAGTCTTGGGTGCATGTCACCCCCTCCTGCCAGAAGATTTCTCATAGTGAAGGAACAAAACGAGAGACCCTCACAGAGGTGGTCGCCAGGGAGGCACGGCAGGAGTGGGCATTCAGTGTTCTTTAACATGGAATCCTAGCTGACTGGCTGTTCTTCTTCCCTTCTGCTCCAGAAAGATGGTATGTAGATATTTCCCTTCTTTTCCTGGGAGAGTTTGAAAGTTAACCTCTCCCAGCTCTGAAGTTAAGAGAAACTATTAACAGTTTTTTGGTGGATAATGACTTTGGCTCTGCATTTTAATGGACTCTCTGAAATAAAAAGAAAATAGTATTTGAGGAGAAAGGGAATATGTCTGAGGAAAATACGAAAAAAACAGAAGGATATCTGCAGAAAGAAAAGAAGTGAATGAGTGAGGCGTATTGCCAGAGCAGGTCCTGGGAGCCTGGGCGACTCTAGCAAAGTTGACCCAGAAGGAAGAGGGCCTGCTGCCTGGGATGAGCCAAGCGAGGAGGCCAAGCAAAGGGCCACCGGCAAGGCTCCGGTGCCCAGGAGCCAAGGGAAGCTGTGTCATCACCCTCTAAAGCTCCCCAATCTCCCGAGTTAAGAACTTTCCATTGTCTGTTCCCAAGCCTGTGCCAGGCAATCCTCCCAACAGTTCTTAAGAAGGATTTGACATCTTCAGTGTCCTGTAGGAGTGACACTCATCATTGTCACAAGGCCTTACTGGGTCCCCAGTAATCACCCATGTGGACACACATCTTTCTCCAAATTAAAATACCCAGAAGCCCAAGAAAAAAGGATTGGGTCCTGAGGGAGTAGGGATGAAGGGGTCCCACATATACATACTTCTAAGGGCTGAATTGAACTCTGAAGAAATGTCACCCTCATCACAAATGTGTCACACAAATAAGCCGGCTGTAGAAGAGGCTCAAGTTGCCCACCTCTACTGGGTAGTGTTATTTTCATGCAAGTGCTATTCTTAAAGACCTTGCATTATTCAAACCTTGACTATTGCAAAGATGAATCCCAAAAAAGTTTATTTTTTGGAATTTTAAGTTTCTCCAAATTTTGTGCACAGAGTAAAACTATTAACACTTGTTACATCACCCTATTTCAAAAGCACATAATTCAAGTTCACATCAAATTTATAACTCACTGATGGACGTGAAGGTGAAGTTGTGCTGGATAGCAACAGCAGCCCAGAGAAGGGGCAGGTCACAGCCTTAACTACCATCCATCTGCTGATGACTAACACTTGCACATCTCCAGCCAGGTCCCGTCCTTGAAACTCGAGTCCCCCAGATCCGATGCTTTATCTTGTAGGATAACTAACGGCATTTCAACCTTACATGTCCTAAATCAGCTTCTAGCGTCTCTTCCTAACCCACTTCTCCCTGCCTCTCTAAATGGCAACTCCTTGGTGCTCAGGCCATAGCCCTGAAGTCATCTTCCATTGCTCTTTTTCTCTCACAGCCCATGTCCAGTCAGTCAGGGACCACTTTGTCCTCTACATTCTGTCTCTCATCACTGCCCTCATTGCATCACCCCCTGCCTGTTCCCCCTGCTTCAGTATCTGTCCCCCTACAGTGCACTTTCAACACAGGAGTCAGAGAAATCCTGTTTACACAAAAGTCAGATCACGCTGCCCAGCTCCAAACCTTCTAATGGTTTGCTCACTCAGAGTAAGAGTCAAAACCTTACAATGGCTCTTAGGCCTTATGCAACTCCCCTACCCCCAACGCCAATCACCTCCCTATTCTCATTTCCTCTCACTCGCCCCTCCACTCACTCTGCTCCAGCCTCCCTGGCCTTCCTGCCACCGCAGGGTCTCTGCACTGCCTCCTCCTTCTGCCTGGAAAGTTCTGCCCCAGATATCCCGATGGTTCCTCCTCTCCTCCTTGGGGGATTGGTTTAAAGGTCATCTTCTCAGAGAGGTCTTTTTCAACTACCCTATGTAAAATCATAATCCACCTCCTTCCTGTCCCACACCTTGTATTCCTCTTCTCTAACATTTCCTCTTTTTCAATACTATTTATTCTCCCAATAGACCATGCCATTGATTTACTTACTTAGAACGAAAATGTCTGCCCCTCCGCCCAATTCTAAAATTTAAACTCCACAGGGGCAAGGATTTTTGTCCGCTGTCACTGCTTTATCCTCCAAACAGAGAACAGTGCTGACATGTACCAGTCCCTCAGTCATAAGTGCTGAATGAGTGAAAGAATCACATAATTGACTTGTAGCAGCCCTGATAACAACCGGTAGGTTCATCATAATATGCCTATATCATGGGAACCATCAACATCTAATTTGATGTCTTTATAGAAGTGATTGTCAAAAAAAACCTAACCGTTAAGACCATCAATAATCACCTGAGTAAACGACAATTCACAAAGTAATATAATGGCAAACAGATGAAAAAAGTTCCCCTCCACTAATAATAAAAGAAATACAATAACAACAATAAAAACAATAATGGCAATACTCAATACTGGCAAGGGTATATCAAGAAGATAGCACTTTCAAGAAACACTAATATGAAAGTAATTGTTACAAGTTTTCTAGGAGATTCATTGCCTTTTTAAAAAAAAAAGTTTGGAAATTTTATCCAATAATTATCCAAAATCCAATTTTATCCAATAATTACACTTCAAATATTTATCCTAATAAAAGAATATGAATGAAGACAAATAAGCATATACAAAGACACAAACTGCAACATTGTTTATAATAATGTCTCTGTTTTGTTCACTGCTGCAGTCCTCAATTTACAACTTCTGGCACATAATAAGCACCCCAAATTTGCTGAATAAATGAACAAAACAGCATATTATGCTGCCATTAAAATATTTCTGAAATACTTTGATGGCATAGGAAATGCCTACAATATGATATTAGCAGAAAAGAACAAAATTCACAGTATTATTTCAACTGTTGAAAAGTGCATAGGAAAAAAACACTTTGAAAGAAAAAACTCCATAATATTAACTTTAGCTGGGTGATAAAAAATATAAATACTATTACTGTCTTCTTCATATTTTTCAATAGTCAAAATTTTTTACAATGGATATTATAGTGTAAGCACCTGACAATTAGCTGCTGCTGCCTTTTTTTTTTTTTTTTTTTTTGGTGAGGAAGATTGTCCCTGAGCTAACATCTGTGCCAATCTTGCTCTATTTTGTATGTGGGATGCCACCACAGCACAGCTTGATGAGTGGTGTGTAGGTCCACACCCAGGATCTGAACTTGCGAACCCCAGCCCACCAAGCAGAGTGTGTGAGCTTAACCACTAATGCCACCCAGCCAACCCGAAAATTAGCTTTTTGGATTGTAATGTAAGTGCCTGACATTAAGCTTTTGATTGCCAAGGCAACCACTTCAGGACATCCATCTCAAATAAACACATGACAGCTCCACAACTAGATAAAGTGCCAGGCTGCCCCATCCATGAAGAGCCCCTTTTTACAAAGCTCTGGTTGACCTAAATAACTGACCATTTGACTGACCTCTTGCTCTTCCCTTAATGCACTTTAATTTCTGTGCTCATGTTTTAAATTCACCAATAAACAGTGAACCCTTGAAACTTAGGTGCCCCACCCTCAAACCCAATAAAACCAGAACCCCAGGTACATTCTCTCTCTGTCGGTCTGTCTGTCTGTCTCTCTCTCTCTCTCTGCCATGTACCCTCCAGGACCTATAAGCAGCAAACCTTGATTTTTCAAAGTTCCCTAATGGTTGTTGCTGAGCTGCATCTTACAATCATAAGAACCACAAGGGCTGGTCCAACCACAACATTGGCTCTGAAAGGGGAAATGTCCGTGAGCCTTGCCACAAGCAGCATGGGCCCAGGTGAGTGCCCCCAGGCATATTCTAGCAGATAGTAGCACTATTAATAGGCTGGGACCAACCCAAAATATGTTATGTATTATTTCTAAAATTAAATGATACATAAAACCTGGAGGAAACCACATGAGCAGAAGCATGCAGAGAGGAAAACAAAGAAGTGCAGAGAACCTCAGTGAAGACACTGGTCAGTGACTTCAGAGCAGGGGGACAGGGCTGGGCAACGAGGCAGGGCCATTCTGTAAGCAAATATGGGGTGTTCAAGATTTATGAACAGGTGAAGAGTGACATCATCAGTGCTGTGCGATAGGAAGATCTCCCTGACAAACCACAGCCCACGGGGCAAATCCAGCCCACCATCTGCCTTTGTAAATGACGTTGGAACACAGCTGTATCCATTCATTCACGTATTGTCTGTGGCTGCTGTCATTCTACAACAGCAGAGCTGAGCAGTCACAACACAGACTGAAATGCCTGTAAACCCTAAAATATTTACTATCTGGCCCTTTACAGAAAAAGTTTTCTGAAGCCTACAGGATGTATTAGGGAAGGGAGAAACTACAAGAAGTGAGGACGTGATGACAACGGCCACCATTTTAAAAGTGACATGGAGGATGACAGCTGCAGAGATGCGTCTTGATAAATGTCTGTATCTACAATCAGATGGAAGAACAAGGCTCCTCTTCAAGGGTGAGAGGCATTCATGCTTTAGACAGTTACTACCATTTTATATGATTACTATATACAAGGGCAGCAGGAAGCAGCAGCAACTGCTGGATCAGTTACCTGTAGGGTCGGGATTGTAGAGACTGGCAGCTGTTGCTATGGGTCCTGGTGGGTGGATGGCGCTTGCTGAAGACCTTTGACTCGCAATCAGGATCCTGCTCTTTGCAGATGGTAAACGGGACATTGCTCCCAATCCCAGCTGGGGTTTAAGGAGCATGGCCGATCGGTAGAAAGTTGGAGGAACTTCGTAGTGAGTATAAGGAGGAGAACAAAATTCTTCTTTTCCAGGGTGTTCTGTAACCTAAGATAAACAATCAGAAGCTCAATCAGAGAACTTCACGTCATAGGATGAACACTGAACACGGTCAGGAGAACAAGGCTCCAGCAACGACCACATCGGCACCACTGAGTGGCCCCATCACAGATCACTTACCTTCTCTGGGCCCCAATGCCTTTCTTCGTCTCTAAGTTGACAATACAACTAGATGATCTCTCAGGTTCTTCCAGTTCTAATATTCTATGAGTCGATATTTCACTGGGAGAAAAAAGAACTCACTCTCTAAGATTTTTAAATTTGCTTGCTACAAAATCACTGGAATTTGTGCAAGTAGCCAATATATAAATAAGTAATGTTAATGAAGCAAAGAAAGAATTTAGCAAACATTCATAGAATTATGAAAGTTTCATTATTCCTAAGGAGAAAAGGCGCAATTTTTATGGTAACCCAGTCTGATAATAAGTAGATGAACTTTATCAAGTTATGTTAAGTCTTTACTAGGCCACTTAGGGGAAAAAAATGCATTGTTAATGAGGGAGAAGAGGCTATTTAGAAGAATAGAGAAGTTAATGGAAAAATGTGTTTTCAGGCTTCTACAATCTGTTTACACAATTAAAAATGAGAGACTGTGAATTACCTCCTCTGATTGTCTTCCCTAGTAAGGTGGTGCTCCCCAAGAAACGTTTGAGCAAGTTTCACTACAAGGCAAGTTCAAGCACAGAGTCTTAACTGCTGAATTCAGAGCACCAGGAATAGTATCTAGTACGTAGCTGAAGTCAATACGTATTAAACGAAGGAAGCACGTTTCCATTCTTCCCTAAATTTAATAACGTAACATTCCTGTCACTTTTTCCTGTAGTTAACAGTTTAGACTAGAATACAACTTTATGGCTACCTTTTATATATGCAATTCTGTACTCACAAAGCTTGTTCATATTATCAGTGTTTCTTCATATTAAAAATGAAAAAATAACTAATTTATTTCCTTTAAGTTAAAAAACAATAGTACCAGAGGCTACATATGAAAAGATACATCTGATAATTAACTCTGCTTTAAATCACAATACATTTAATGTGTCAAACTTATATCTATTCAGGAATCACAAGCATTTAACAATATTCTTTAATAGAAGCTATAAAGCTTTGATCCAAGCTGTTGAAGAGAGAAACCCTTAATCTGATACTTTTAATGCCAAAATAGATACAAAGTTCTCCTTAAATTGACATCATTGAAACAAAAGATAGGCCTTTAAAGTTTTATCATAATCACATTGTAAAATATGCATGATTGCTAGAGTAGATAGATTGATTTCAGGCTGCAGCAAATTACATTCCTGTGAAAGAACATTCTACATCTGCTCTCTGATAAAAATTTTCCCATTCTTTACCTAGTCTCTTACTATTAATTTTTGGCCTCTCTATTATACTCATATTTCCTCTACTTTTTACTTTTAGTTTCTAAACTTTTGATGCCATTGCTCATTGCTCTTAGAGGGTGCTCTCATGAAGAAATGATTATCACTTCTAACCTACATCTGTCAGGTTTGGGGGATTGCAATATGCTGACCTCAGTAATTCCCCAGTTCTTTGAAACTGGATAGTTTTCAGGGGTAAAACCCATCACGCTGTCACTCAAAAATGACCTTAACGATCTCAGGAACTTCAATGTATTAAAATCAAAAACAAATGGAGACCAGCCTTGAAAATTCCCCAGCAGACAAAACCAGTTTAGTCATACAAACAAAGCTTAATTTAGCTTATTTTGGAAGACTAACTTGACCTGCGTCATTTCTTGCTTATGCCTCTGAAAAGCATAAGAAAACTTGAACTGTTTCCCAAGGTTAATATGAGGTAATTCCCTCCAATTCCCTATCATTTAAGAAAATTCTAACATTAGATCCAACCACTGCGAAAAACAAACAGTCACTGTCTCCACCTACACAAGCTGCTTTATGACGACATAACCCTAAGCCTCATTCCACGTTCTGGTTTGAGTACTCCCAGTATGCAAGCTGTCTTTTTGGTGTGTGCACAATAGACATTTACTATCTCGGTGATTCATTGGTTTTACTTGTGTTATTTCTGAACTTTTGATGAATGCCTGTCATTTTATTGGGTAATTTGTCTCTGGTAAGATAACAAATCCTTTGAAAAGGTGAAAAGTATGCCTCAGATGCCTAATCTGTGCATTTTTAATAAAACAAGGGAATCTACAAAAAGCTTCACACTCTTTCCTTTCATCTTTAGTGACAGAACACAACAGGAGTCACTGCATAGTCATAAACACAGAAAGATGAACCCCAAATGGTTTATTCCCTCCTTTTCTACTGGAGTATTTAGAAAAATAATTTTGAAAGCAAACTAAAGAATCCCTGTGATTTCAAACTCCTAAAACCAATCAAGGCACACAGATAAGTTCTTACTGGACTGTCCCTCTTCATATGGGCCCTGTGCTGACTTCAGTGGGTCCCGGGCTGGGGTACGGGGTAAACGCAGAGGCTTTGCTGAGAAGCCACTGGGAGGGCTGCAGGGAGAGGGCTCGTGATGGCTAATCTTATCTGTCAGCTTGGCTAGGCCACAGTACCCAGTTATTTGGGCGAAGATTATTCCAGATTTTTCTGTGAAGGTAGTTTTTTAGATGAGATCAACATCTGAATCAGCAGACCTTGAATAAAGCAGATTACCCTTCATAACATGTGTGGACCTCATTCAATCAGTTGGAGGCCTTAATAGAAAAAGACTGACCTCCCTTAAAAAAGAAGGAAATTTGCCAGCAGACGGCCTTTGGACTCAAATTGCTGCATCAGCTCTTCCCTCGGCCTCCAGCTTGCTGGCCCATCCTTCAGATTCTGGACACGCTGGTCTCGACAACTCTATGAGCCAATTCCTTAAAGTTTCAGTAGATACATACAAACATACCTATGCAGGCTCTGTTTCTCTGGAGAGCCCTGACAAACAGCGTCCTTCAGAAATGAGGTGCAACAGGGAGTGGGAAGGGAGACCAACCCTAATCCCACATCTGTATACTGCAAGCACACCGCCTCACCCCTCCACTCTCACCCCTGCTCCCTCTGCCCACCTCCCTACACCAAAAATTCAAATGGCTCCCCCAAGGGGTCAAGAGAAGGGAGAGTCCCTGAGACCTCAGGATAGCTGAGCACAGAAAGCAGTCCAAACAAGGAAGCACACTTGATGGTCCTAGCATGACAAGATCCAAGATCATCTTCAAAGCCGCTTCTGGAAACCCTAAATGTCTGCGTTGTTCCTGCCAACTGAGAAGAGCCCCCTCACTCAGCAGCACTTACTCTAGTCTCCTCCACGTCTACTCGCGAGCTAACCAGCACGAGTCTGTCAGGAACGAGGGAAGAGTCTGATGCTGGTTTGGGTTTTTATCCTTAAGACCTTCCTATTTTATTAAAAAGATATATAACTTCTCCAACTGAAAAACATTTCTGTTGTAACTGGTCAGAAGCATGCTCTTTTCCTGGAGACTGGCTGAAGCCATCCTGCGGCGAGTTCGGGCACACTGGCAGGGGAGGCGGCTTTGGATCTCCCTGTACCGAGCCTGAACACAGGAGGGGCCGCCCTGGGTTACATCAGGTGGCAGCTACAGAAGCCAAGGTCAAGGGCCAGCCTACTCCTCACTTCTGATTACAGAAATTAGCCCAGCACCACACTAGGGCTTCTCTGCTCTATCTTGTAGACTGAGGAAAGGGCCTGGGCCTCATGTTCTGATGACAGCAGAAAACGGTCCTCAGATACAGTGGCTGGTCACAGTGGCACTGCTGTCCCCATACCAACGAGGTCTCTCTGAACCTCTCAGAACTACTAAAGTCACTCAAACACCCACACTATCCCATCTCCTTGAGACTTGGGGTGACTTCTAGAGGATTAAGAAAATATTTTTGGGAAAAGTGTGCATATAATGGAGAAATTGCTCTATATTTTATGGAGGGAGCAGAAGCAATACAGAAAGGAAATATACAGAAGAAAAATTAAGAAGGGTCACAGAGAAAGAACTGCAGACAATAATAGGATTTTTGCCTCTATATCCAAATAAAGTTTCTCTCATGAATGTGTTTTTGCAGAGAAAACTCTAGGGGATCTTTTTCTGGGGGGTGAGGGCAGTAAATTATTTGAAGAAATGGTACAAATGAAAGAACGTAAGTGAATGTTCTGGTACAACTTACAGAAGAGGTAAAGGTGACCCCAATAGGCATACACTGCCTTGGTGCCCAGAGCAGTCACCCCACTGGCTACAGAGAAGCGAGCCTAAGGCTTGACTCTCCTTATTGCTCTCTCACAGGGTGTGCTTGTCTAAGAGATGCTCTGCCATGCCAGAGCTGGGGGGCCCTGTCTTTCATAAGTTGGTTACTTCTGAGCGATACTTTGAGAAGAAAGAGGTTCATTCATTTATGTGACCAGCTTTGGTACCCACAGCCCTGCGGAGGCTCAGATGGCTGTCCCCCAGAGGCCTCACAAGGAGCACCCCTGCCTAAGTGAAGAGCCCAGGGTTAAGAGCCCAACCTGCAGTCTCAGAGGCCCGGGTGGCTTCTGGGAAATTTGAGAAAGACTCATATTAACCAAGCTCAGAGACTGACATATGAAACCAGAGTGGCAATTTGTCCATTCATTGTTACTGAGATGCCACTGGCCTAGGGCCAGAATCTAGAATCCTCTGTCCAGGACAGGCTCTCTCTGCAGGCTGCCGTGTGAGAAGCCCACTTCAAACAGGACACCATGGGCAGCTGTGCACAGAGAGATGAGCCCCTGCCAAAGAGACTGGGCCCCCAAACTCTCCCATCAGTGTCCTCTCTCCAGAGATGTGAGGAAGCCTCTCCAGGAAGCCCAGGGTCAGAAAGCAGGAAGCGTGTGTGATTCAGTGCTAACAGCCCAGCCCAGGGAAGGACAGACGGTCAGAGCTAGCTGGGGTACCTGGTCAGTGCTAGCTTTGGTCAAGATCTACTCTGAGAACAGGTTCACTTCTTCCTCTGTGCCAGAGCTGACAACTGCTGTGATCACTACAGTCCACGTCAGTATAGTCAATCAAGCCAGAGTCCAACTGTGGACTCACTCTGTCTCTAGGGAGCTTTGGTTGACTTTTTTTGGATCCAACATATACAAGTTCATAATACAGCTATTATTCAACATTTCTTGGGCATGTATTTATGCCAAGAACTGTTCTAAACGCTGGGGAGACAGCAGGGAACAAAAAAACAGAAAAAGTCCCTGCTCTCACAGACTTTACATTCTAGGTGATGCAACAAAAACAAGTATATATGTCAGTATATATGTCAGGTAGAGATAAGTGTTAAGAAGAAATAAACGAGAGAAAAGAGTCTCAAAGGGAAGAAGAGGTGGCCTCTCTAATAAAGTGACATTTGAACAGAAACCTAAAGAAAGTGAAGGTGAGAGCCAATCAGATATCTAGGAGAAGAACATTCCAAGCAGAGGGAAGTGCAAAGGCCCTGAGGCAGCTGAGGGAAACAGGAAGAGCGAAGGAAGGCGAGGAAGTCAGGGAGGTAACAGAGCTAGACTGAACACATCCCAAAGGATGAGCAATCCTATAGGCATCAGCCTCTGTCCTGAGTGGCCTGGGCAGACCTGAAGGGTGATAGGGAAAGGTGAGATCTGATCCAGCCTTCCTTGTAACTGATCGCTCTGGCTGCCATGAGGAGACTGCCTCCCGGAAACAAGTTTTTCTGAGCCCTGGGAGGATGACTTGTCACAGCACCCAGGTGCTGAAAGGGTAGCACAGAGGGACCTGGGAGCATCTCGGCGCTGGCAATGCTCTGTGGCCTTAGATGAGTTACTCAAACCCCACCAAGTCTGTTTCTTCCTCTATACAGTGATAACAGCTGCAACCCCAACCTCCAGAGAACTGCTGTAAGGGTTAATGAGGACCCACCAAGATTAAACGCGTGTTATGTGGGCCCAACACATGGCAGGCACTCAAGTAAACATTAGTTCTAATTAGCATTTTGACTTAAAGAGCCCAAACCTAACACATTATTTTCTACCCACTGTTCTTCACACGCATGAATGCGAGATCCTCCCACAAGGAAACATTCCCCCTGGGAGGATGAGGTCTGACCAATTTGAACAATGTATTTATTTTGGATTTTTTTTTCCAGTGACCTGGCTTACAGAAGAACTAGGCTCACTAATTTAAACAGGGAAGCTAATTTAAATGCTTACTTATCTCTAACTTCATATGTGAGATACTGAGTGAGATTTAGATGAATCTCCCGGGATGTTAGATCCATCTCATTATGATCACCAAACTCTTCTAGTCAAAAACACGCATTTGTCTACAATCTCCTCTAGTCAAAAACATCCATTTCTGGACAAGTGCATCCATCAAAATCTGCAATTTGCTAAGAAAGGATATTCCGTTTTCACAAATCATCAAGAAGACGAAACAAGCTTTAGGATGTTCAACCTATACATCGTACCACAACACCACGCTCTTACCTCCTGCAAAAACTTTTCACTCATTTGGCTGAAATGGTGTCCCGGGGGCTTGATCCCTGACACCATCAATCCAGAGCTGAAGACCCTGGGCTTCTGCAAGTCTGGCTTGAATTTCTCGTAGAGGCTGGCGGCCGGCTTCAGGTCCGCACTGGCCGCCTTCTCCTCTTTGGGAAGAGGCACGCTACACGTGGGCGGAGCATAAGGAAGCCCCACTGGAACCAGCGACGCGTCCACCTGGCCGAGGGCCTGGGGGTTCCTCCTGATGTAGGTGATGATCTTAGGCCTCACATGCTTGGGTTTGGGCATAATGATGGGCTTGGGTTCTGTCCTTTCTTCCGTCTTTTCCACCTGGCGGCTCTCCGTCCCCTCCTGTGTGGAGGGTGCGTCCTCGGAATGTGTGAAGACGGGCTTGGGGATCCCAGTGGGGCAGGTGTTCTTGTCAGGCACTTTCGGGGAAGTGGTCAACAACCGTGTGCTGTCGGTAGAAGGTGGGGCAGCTGAGGGTGACCCCGTGTCCACACTCAACACGCCGAAGTCCTGAAAACTGCTACTGGGTGGTGTAGGCTGGTGGGTCACATTCACAGTTGTCTCTGGGTGGAGGGGTCCTGGGACATTGAGAAGAGAATCTTTTCTTGCTGGGTTACTTTCAGTCTTAATTGCATTTTCTAGAAGGTTCCTACTTTCGGCAACAGATGTAGTGATCTCTTTGCTCTGCCCTGCTTCTGAGCTGCTGCTTTGAGGGTCACGGGGCTCAGGGACCGCAGCTTTGCTCCCTCCAACAGAAGGATCTGAAGTGGAAACTGGAGCACTGTCCCTGCTCCCAGTGCCCAGCACCAGTCTCTCCTCACTGCCATCGGAGGGCCTGCCATCAGCTGGATCTTTAGGAATAAGAGCTACATGACCATCACCTGGGGGAACGCTGCTGGACGCCGTTTCACCCAATTTCCTAGCTGCACTTGGTGAAATTTTGCCAGTGGGCTGATTATCAGCGGCTCCCAAGGAAGCAGGGCCCTGTGGGGGACTGGTGTGAAGAGGCCCCCCCTCACCTAGGCTGACTGCTCTCTTTTCCTGCTCGCTACTCCTGCCTCTTCCCACGCCAACATGGTGGAGACTGCCGTGTGACAGACGGCTAAGTGCACCGGCGGTGGCTTCTTGCTGTGCTTCCCTACACGGCCCCTCTCTCTCTAGGGGTAACACACTATCTTCCTTAGGACATCCTAGACCCTCCGCCTGGGCTGACTTTAATTCCTGCACGGCCCTGGGTTGGACAAATTTCAGCTCCGTCCTGGACTCGGCCTTTCCCTGACCTAATTGTGCTTCTGGCTTACTCGGGACCTCCTTTGATGCTGAAGTTGAACTCAGAGCATGCTCTGAATGGGCAGAACATGATGTGCTCTTGTCGTTGACTTTCGATACATGTGCCCCCTCCATCTGGGTCTCCGAGGAGGTGGTCTCCTTGGTTTCTGAGGTAGATGGTTTAGGATGATGCACACTCTTTCCCTCTGAGGTATTGTCAGCTGAAGGAAAAGCTACCCTTAGAGAGGGGGCTGCCAATGTCTTCTGTGGCCCCTCTCTACCGTCAGGCATGTGACAGGGGGCTTCAGGGGAGTCCAGCGGTGTAGGCTGAGGAAACTGCCGAGTCAGGCTCCCAATACGCTCCTTTGTGAGCGCGTCCACTGCAACAGCAATGCTGCTTGCTCGTTCCAAGGAATGCCTTCTCAACTCCTCATTGTCAAGGGTCTTTGCCAATTTATCCTTTGGAACATGCCGGGGAATTTCGGCATCCCTTTTAGCTGAAACCTCTAGACTGTACTCGCCCATGACATTCCTCCAACTTGACAGACTTGGTCCCTGAATACTCTGAGGGGTCTGTGGGATATCTGTGCCTCTCTCCATTGTGTGCTCCTCATTTAGCTCTCTATGAACGGTTGAAGAAGATTTAAAATCTTTCAGGCTCGTGGGGCCAGCCTGAGATCCCTTCCCAAAGCCCTGAAGTTGGTGAAATTCCTTATGGAAATGGGTACCATTTTCCGGCTCACTTGTATTTGCATTTCCAATTTCATCTCTCAGGTCACATGTCTCAGACTCATCACGAGAGGAACTGACCTCCAACATGATTTGATTGGCATTGGTATCTCCCAGACTTAGGATACTCTCATTATTATTTTTCGCTCCATTTCTGTTGTCCCGCAACTGAGTGTAATATGATTTCTTAGGGGCCACTGGGACACTCATTTTCAACCGGTCAGTGGGGGCTGCCTGCCATGCAGTCCTCCTTAATGGAAAGGGGCTTCCTTCAAGCTGCTCTTTGATTAATAGGAAATTCTCAAGCTGCTTGTCACCCCCTGACAATGTCACATTGTGATACTGCTATAATCATTTTCAGAGCAGTTTTAAAACCAAGCATTGTCTTGACATACAGCAGGATGACTTATCTGTTAGGTTCCTGCTGAATGAGAGCCAATTAGTCCATGAGACCTAGAGAGAAATAAAAATAAAATCATGTTAAATTGACAGAGATTCTCAGAAGAAAAAAGCACAGTAAACACAGATTTATTCATCAGTTTCAGAATATTATTTAATTCACTTGATTTGCATATTTCTCAAAAACCTTTCAGATGGGGGTTCCTGATGGCCAAATATGGGAAAACTGAAACATCAAAGTGATCAATGTTAGAAATAGATTATGAAAACATATTAAATCTTAAATTTAAATTTCAAAAATCTACAAGTCCATACTGATACTGATTCAAAAGGGTGGAGGAAAAAAGAAGGCTCTTCTTCACAGGATATCAACTAATACACGAAAAATTACAGAATTAGAAAAGTCATCATTTTGTAATCACCAGAGTAATAATTATCTTGGGTAACGGACATCAATGGTTGAAAAACATTGGTTGAAAGATTGGGGAACAGGATATTCATGGAATCACAAGGTAGCATCCTCCAGATGACTTTATTTCTTACAAAAGAAAAATTTTATCTTTACAATGGAGAAACCTGCTGGGCAGCACGTTAACCAAATGATCAAATTTAACATCATCAGTAATGGAAACTGACACCACGTGCTCCTGATTCGGGGCATTCTCAGTGCCTCACATCACCTGTGTAGCATCCTTGCTACAAACGTTCAACCTGAATTTAATCATGAGGAAACAATCAGACAAATTTAAAATAACTGGCCTAAACTTGCCCCCAAAATGCCAACAGATGTCTACATACAATGCATGATCCTTGACTGGATCTTTGATTTTTAAAAAAGTTAGTAAAGGACATTACTGAGACAATTAGAGATTTAAATATGGATTATATTTTAGGTAAAGGTATTTTATCAATGTTAACTTTCTTGGATGTATAATACTATTGTGATTATATCAGAGATAATCTTGGTTCTTGGAAGACACGTGCTTTTAGACATGACATGTCTTTTAACATGACATGTTGTCTATAACTTACTCTCCAGTGGTTCGGCAAAAAGAAGAATGTGTGTGTGTGTGTGTGTGTGTGCACACGCGCGTATGAAAGAGAGAGAGAAAATGCAACTGTGCCAAATGATTACAATTTGAAAACATGGGCGATCCACTCTACTATACCTACAACTGTTCTATAGGTTTGAAATTTTTCAAAATAAAATGTTGGAGGAAATTCTCTCCCAGCCTCAGGGCCTGCGTGATCCAGCCCCTAGACACCTTTATAGCCTCATCCCCACTACTCACCCTCCTACTCTCCAGGCTGCAGCCACACTGGCCTCATTCTGTTCCTTCCTCCCTGCATCAGGCCTTTGCTAATACTCTTCCATCTGCGTAGAATGTGGACTCTTCCCCCAACATTATTCTTTTGTATTCTTCAGTTTGCAGCATAAATACCACTTCCTCCAGGAAGCCTTCCTGAGGCACTAGAATAGATTAGGTCCTTCTATAATGACCTTTTATAATATCCTATATTTTTACTTCCAAAAAAACCCTTCAGATGTGCTAGACACTGAAGAAAATCTTGTTTAATACCTAGCATATGTGTTAGGCACTTAATATGTATTTGTAGCATGACTGAATGAATGATGAAGATCAATGTTATTTCTACTCTCATAGAGCTTTAAATCTAATACAGTATTTAAATTTCTATCAAAGTAGACTCACAGATCATCCCTAAACTCAATTCAAGGCTAACATTATTTTATCCACTACTATGAATAAATGTGAATAACGTGAATGCATTTTATTAGGCACTGGGGATGGGAGAGTTTAAAAGTCACAAGGTTCTGCTCTATCCCCAATTCCCCCAATGGGGAATCAAAGTTAACAGCCTTCCACAGCTTCCTCCTCATTCACACAAACTTATGCGAGTACTCACACATTGCACAGGAAACTCTTCTCACGTTTTCTACTGAAGTAGGTTACATAGCAACCCAGTTGTCTTCTCTTCATCGTTTAATATGTTATTTCATATATTCAAAAGAATACTTGTATATTCATACAGATATATACATTCATGTATACATAATACATACACATGTACATATGTGATAAAGCAAAATAACATACTGAGCACGGGAGAACCTAAGACTGAGAAATCATCAATAACTTGTAGTCACCTCCATGTTCCTCTCCAGCCCAGCCCCCAACTTTCCTAACTTAATTTTTCACTTGACAATCTGTCTTGGGCATCCCTAAAAATTCAGTTGATGGGGCTCTCCTTTCGTTTCTTTTGCATCTATTACATAAGCATGTATTCTTTACATAAATGAGGTCATTTCCTATAAGCTGGCTTTTTGTCAGCCTTCTTCTTTTTATTTGCCCCTTCTTCCCCTCATCCCAAAACACCCTAACATCCTGATCCAGGTCCTTCCCTTCCTTTCCCCATGTTCGTATACTCCTATCCAAATACACACACCTGTGTATTACACGGTGTGCGTTTTCATTTCCCTGCCACACTGCTCTTCTGTTCTTTCCATGCCGCGCTCACTGTCTTCATTCTCCCACTCCCTTCTGTCTCCCACATTCTCTTTCTCCTTCTCTGTCTTCCTCCAGGCCTGCCTTCAGAGAGCCAGGGGCACTGCCAGCTCCAGCCTTGGCCCAGTAACAGCCCTCAAGCCTAAGAAGGTGCTGACACTCTGCTCCCGGCCTTGGGTCCCTGACACACAGAAGATTCTCAATGAACCCACATTTCTTTATTTATTCAATTTTAAAAGTGTTTTCCTTGAAGATACACATGTCCTCTGGGCACAAATACAAAAAGCATGTAGGCAAATCAATAAGATGTCAGTTTAAAGGAACACTGTGCTCTCTGGGTCAGGTAACAGGTATGCCAGAAAGTCAGGGAGAGCAAGAAATTCCACAGACACAGGCCATCCACAGAAAGTGAGCATCTCTAATTCTCTGTGGGCAGAATTATAAGCATGAAACCAAGAGCCCTCTTTGGTTTGAACTGCTGAGACTGGGAGAAAGAAATGAATTCTCAGCAGTGACAGCAAAACCAGAGCATCATAAACCACAATCCACAACGTGATTGCTCCAGAGTGACAAACACGTGCAAAATCAGTATCTTGCTAGAAAGCGTTGTATTTTAATTTTTAAAGAATTACATAATAAATGTTCTTTGTCTTTGTCAGTAAACAATAAGTGTTACTCATTTGTAAGGGGATGGAAAGCTAGAACCTCCTAGGGGCCAAGTATTATTCTCAGCACTAAAACATATTTGCAAAATTTAATTTTTAAATTATAATTAATTCTACTTAATCTTAAATTTTAAGTTAAGCTATTTAATATTTGTAATGGTCTCCAGAGATAGATCTTAACATCCCCTTATTTTTTTTTCTTTCTCTCCAGGTAAGGAAATGAAAGCACAGAGAAGGTAACATTCCCAAGATCGCACAGCTAAGAAGTGGGAGAGCAGGGACAGAGATAGGAAGGTAAAATCCATGCAGAAAGTGGAAGCTGTAAAAAGAAAACCTACTTATTGGTGGAACTGTATAGATCACATAGGAAGAGTAAAAGGAAAAGTCACCATCATAAGAACAAGAATAGAAAAGCAAATCCAAAGACCAAAAAGGAGAAAATGTCCACATGAGACAGGAAAAGCAAATTTTAAGATCTTCTTCAACTACAGAAGGCAAACCAAGTGCAGGAAGTAGTTTCCCACTTCCTTCCCTTCAAGACGCTTCACACCTTCTCCCAGAGCTCTATCATTTTGCCAGAAGACAGTCACAAAGTCAACATGAGGAAGAGTTTTTTCTGGATCTGGATTTCAATCCAGGGTACTCTACCATGATAAACATTTTTTCCCCACTATAAACATGATCATAAAAATTTAGACTCATAATACAAGAGCGTGTGATGAAACAAAAAATGCAAACATGTCTACCAACCGTGCTAACCCCCTACTCGAGGTGCATTTTCCCAGAGTGAGGCATGTAACGTCCATGTGCTTCACATCCATGAATAAAAAAGTTATAGACAATGGCCTTAGAGGTAAACGGTAGCTTATCTTGGAAAAAATCCATTGAGTCCTAGCTCCGAAAGAAATTTAAAGAATTTCTAGGCTCCCTGCCTATCTGATGCTTGATAGGCTTCCAGTAGTTCCCCCTACTGCTAGGGTGAAAATTCTAGTGTCAGGAAATCCACCAGCTCTCTAGGCAGCCCATTGCACCTCTGCACAGGGCCACTGCCAAACTTGTTCGGAGCTGAGATCTGCCTCCCTAGAGTGGAATAATGCAAGCCTTCATCCCCTGGACAACCCTTCAGGTATCTGTAAAGAGGTGTTAGGCTCCCTTCCTCCCCCAAACCTATTCTCCTTGCTCAAGAATTCGGACTCTCCTAACTGCTGGAGAAGCTTTTGAAAACTCCCACCATCTAAGCACATACACCAGGGAGCCTGAAGTCCCTCTTAATAGGGTGCTCAGAGCTGCACATAATACTTCAGACCTAGGTGCATTATCCAGGGCCATGTGGAAGCAAGATTTCCATCCTCCCAGCTGTACATCTAACCACACAATCTAAGACAGTGACCTCTTCATGAGCATATAAATCACCTTATTAATTCCATATGGCCAATTAGAATGCCCAAGTACCACATGAGTTACTCCTAAACTACACCAACTCAACCCTAGAAATTTCTACCTGGCTTTTATCACCCTTGGGTAGGACCATAAAAATATACCTCTTGAACTTTGTCTTGCTGGTCTAAATCCACTGTTCCATCCTATTTAAAATATTTTGGGGCCCACCCTTAATTTTTCATCCAAAATATTTGCAATCCATTCCCTTTTCATATCATCTTCAAAGAGGTAAGTGCACCTTCCATCTTATCGTTCCTTTCACTGAAGCAAATGGCAGCAGAACAGGGCAGGAGACGAGGCAGCAGCCTCTGGTGCCAGGGAGAAGTAGCTCCGTGATGCTCCTCCTCTGCTCACCAGCACTGCTGCTGCACTCACAGAGGCACTCCACCCACCAGGCCCCGCAGCCACTGTGCACATCGTGTCC